TTTTTCATTCAATCAATATAAAATTCAGATGAAATACTTTTACAATACACAACTTTTCAAAAAATATATCTCATATTTTTCAAGGGAAATTTGACCAGTCCGTTTCACATGTATAATAATAATAAAAAGATAGTTGCAACAAAGTTGTAGAAGTTCAGGAACAAATTTTCCTTCATGCTAATTTCCTATTTTGTTCTCTTAGTTTACTTTCAACCATCTTGGCCATCTCTTCATTCTCCTTCTTCATATCAGTCACACATTTTTTTGACATCAAATTAAACATCTTCATCATTTCAAGTATTATTTTCTTGTAGCTTACGTTCATGAAACGACTTATATATTTAAATTATCTAAATTTAAAAAACAATTACAATTAATATATAAACGTATTATAGTATCTATCATATATAAATAAAATGGTATTTATATGTGTTACCTCCGAAAAAAATATTGTACAAAAAAAAACAAAATCCTAAAATATGTTTCTTCCTTAATTTCTTCTTCTTCAATATCTGTGATTTCTTCCTGCTTGTTTTTATCATCTTCATTTCTTCCGACTTCTTTTCACTGTCTCCAATTTCTTCATTTTCTTTCTTATCTTTCTTTATCATATTCGTCGTCTCGATATACTATTATTCAGATTTTTCTTCGTCTTTACTTTTCTGCTTTGTCTAATTTAACTAATTTCTTTTTGCTGTTATCATGTATTATATTAAATTGATGAGAGTGTTGTATCTTTTAAACAAACAAAAAAACCATTAAGACCGTTTTAGATTGATCGGTTGAATTGACTTTAAAAGCTATATTTTTAGTAAGATTAGTGAAAATGAATAAAAAATCTATTTCTTAGGAAAAAGATTAATTAAACTGGTTTCACTTAACCGATTTAAGAAGGATCTAGTTTTTTGATCCAAAATCTCAAGCCTTGTATATATATATATATATATGTCAAGACTAATGCAATTAAAAAAAAAACATAAAGTAAAGCTCAAAAAAATGGAGTTTTTTTTCTTTCTTTTGTATGTTTTTCTTAATACATATGAAAGGGGGAAAGTCGATCAAGTAGTGTCCCTGTTCTTGTTATGCTCATCAGATACAATTCCTCAAGTATATATTTTTTATTTTCAAACATCTGATAAGCTAATATCAAAACATAAACATATTTCAGAGTCCTCGGTTAAAGAAATAATATCAACAGAAGGACACAAAAAGGATTATACGTACTAATGTTTTGTAAATGTTAAGAATCAGAGAGATTCAGCAGTCAGTCACATTGTTGTCGCTTCTAAGTTTGACAGATTTTAAATCACGGCGGTGTTTACTTACACACACGCACATTATAGGTGTCACATAAAGCACCAGACACAAAATACAATGACCAATTTTAGCTCATGATTTTAAAGCTAATGTGAGCTCCAATCTAAATCAAAGAATGCTATTACTCTAACACTGTTTACATATACACATTTCCCACTTTTGTATATTTGAACTGGTAAACCGTAGTTATGGAACACCCTAATCCTACCGTCCCAAGTTGCTGTCACGATCACAAGCCCCCACAGGTGCGGCGTACAAGGGTTGACGTTCTCGCACACGTTCCTCAAGAGCCTCAGCTTAGACCTGATGCTGGATTTAGCTGAAATCGCTGTTGCACCTGCACCTGTTACTACGCCAAGCTTCTCTTCTTGCCACGTTGTTGCTCCTTTCATTGGAGAGAGATAGTGCATCCGCAACAGGAAATGAGCAACTTTTTTTTGCAGATCAGCAATGAAACTGTCCCCCTCTTTCCCTTTTCCTAGTCAAGGTATGGCAACCGACATAAGACCTGATCGTTTTTGGTTTAGAATAGTCCCATACATGAATCACTGAGCCCTCTACTGCTGACACAATGTGTTTCCAACAAAGCAGAGGTTGGTCTCAGTGTTCTCCTAAGACTGGAAGCTGCAAAACATCCACCAAGAAAATAAGAAAAAAAATTATATCAAAACAAACTCATAGAAGAATTCATCTCAGCACTGAAATTCCATTGTCTTTAGAACTTCATACAAAACCGAAGCAATTATGCGTGCAAACCCTCAAATGTGATACACAAGAACTTGTACCTCGGTAAACTAAAAAAAACAACAAAGAAAAATGATCCAATATTCCAAGAGTTAGATCCACCAATAAAGAAACAAAGTTCTTTTATCAAACACAGTTTTGTCTAATAATACATGGACTATATCTGCTTGTGTCATAAAGAGAACCCGAGCCTAAATTTAATAAAGAAACAAACAAACAAAAGTTTCCTTTCAGTAAAACTGAGGACTGTGAATCTCTAAGGCAGATATCAAGTGACATCAAATCAAGTGTACACCGATCCTCCTCATGTATTCTGTTAGGATCTAGAACATAAGTAAATGTAACAATGGAAGAAATTAACGACAGAACCATGTGTTAAAAAAAAAAAGAGGAGAGAGGCGCACATTATACAAATGTTGTTATGAAATGTCTCAAGAATCTAGTAAACAAAAAACAGAGACAGCAGAACAGAATACACAAAGATTGTGCCATTAAACGTAGAGTGATGGGAATTCTGAATACTGGAGAATTCGAGCTTCGCGAAACAAACGATTATAATCCATCCAACCCATAAATTGTGTGCGCCTCTTAAGGTGTAAACCTTGACATGCCAAAATTGTAATAATCTTTTAGAAGAACATCAAACTATATATGTAAGTGAATAATAACGAAATACAAATGCAAGTAATCATGAAGAAAAGAAAGTCGTGGAGCCAACTTACTTTTAAGGAACAATCACGTTGTAATAAAAAAATAGGAATATGGACTTATGCTTACCCTTCAGGTTCACGATCAGGTTGAGGCAGGTGGAAGCTCAAAACGGGAACATCTGAATTAAAGAGAGAGAAAATTCAGACAAATTACTTGAAGCTTTGTAATTCAAACGATGCATCATTCAACTCGACTTTGCAATATCAGCGATGCATCTTAAAATCATAACCGCGAAGTATAGAATTAGAATTTTTTTAATACAAAACGATGCATCTCTAAAAAATATAAGTGATACATCATAAGTTGTCTAATTGTATAAAAAGTTAATCGAATGAATATGACAACAGAACAAATCGATAAGTCTACCTCTTGACATGTTGTCCATTGTATAAACCACCAACGAAGATAACCTAATCAAATCAGCATGGTGGAAGGTATATATCAATATAAGACTATAAACTTGAATTAAAAGAAACAAATTCAAACATAAAACAGTGAAAAGAACATAACTTAACGAAATATGTGCTCATCATGAAGATTGCTTTAAGAAAAAACAATAAAGAAGCTCAGATCAATTTATATTTACGAACAATAACTGATTAATCCAAAACATTTACGAACACGAATATATAAAAGATGTTTAGGAAAAATAAAGAAGATGAACACTATACGAGCATATATAGAGTAGAATAGATGCTTTAAGGTTTAGAGTTTTTATGTTAGTGACTCATTTAACAGATTTGGTGGCTATGATCGAGATAAAACTGCTGGTTCATTAATAAATTTAATGATTTATAATCGATGAAAAAAGCCGTATCACACATATTGACACGTAGGATTAATGATCGTTTTATCAGAATTAATTAAAAAGATATATATATATATATATTTTTTAATAATGATACATCAACGAATTGCTTTGGAATTTTTGACTTTGTAATAATAGTATAGCTATGAAAATCACAAAGGAGTTGATGAAGACACGTCACGAAGTCTTGAGGGAGACGTGGCGTGTTTGAATCGGAGGGTCCACATTGAGATTTTTCAGTTATGCTTTGCTAATTACAGCTGTGCTGCCTGTGCAACCAATTTCTTGCGGCTCCTTTTCCTTTCTTTCCACATTTACTCGACTATGCAACAATTTCGTATTTGTTTTTGTAAAATTTTGTTTATTTGTTTACTAACAACCGATAACAAGTAAATTAATATATTTCCATGGATGCAAATGAAAGCTATATTTTTCAAGTAATGATCCTTTCTGTTTTCTGTTCCTTTCGAATATATAGCAAATAAATCTCATTTTGTATGGATCATGAGAACGTCATGATTTATGTATATTTAAAAAACGGAGCTTGTTGTATCTTTCACCAATTGCCAAAGTATATGATCTTAATGCTCCATAAGATTTATTATGATATAGAAAATAAAACATTTAAAGAAAGTTTGTAATATTTGAACACAAGAACCTTGTGTAACATGCGTTAAAATAATACCATAAAACCAAAGCTACACCAAAGCTGATTAATATCGAACCGGGGGTAAGCAAGCCCTTTGGCGCCAAATTTGTTAACTTTGTTCATGACACCGGAATAGAAATCCGTTGTTTTGTTGTTGTTGTTGTTGTTAAAGTCGTTGTTTTTATTACTAGGAAATAAATAAGAGTATTGATGTTTTCACATTTGTTGCATGATTATATTTATATATGTTGTGAGTTGATATTTTCTTTTTCCAAATTATCCTACCATCCACATGAGAGTGCAATGGAGCACCTATATAACACCATATATGGATGATGACTTAATACGCAGTAGAATAGTATATTTGTAGAATGTTTTTGAACATCAATAGCAAATAAAAACTATGTTTTTAGGGATTTCTTTATATCTCAAAATGTCATAATTTAACAAATATATTTCTACATTTCTCAAATCGAAGATTTTGTAGAATAATATATATTTTGTTTTTTTTCGACAGAATAATATATATATTTTGTGATAAAAAGAAACACTTTTGGTCAGACATGACATACAAAAGAACATTTTAAAAGTTTTGTCAAGAACCAAAATTTTACCTGAAAAAATCATAATAGCAGCTAATAGCCATCACAGTTCTTGTCCAATTCTTTTCTCTAGCAGCAATCTGCTTGCAAACTTTCATTTCATGGCCGAGACTTGGTCAATCCATATTGACCCTTTCTTGTTTGTTGCTAAAATTTTGAATAAGGCTACAATTATATAAATACTTTGGTATTTAATTGGTTACAAAGAATTTAAATAAACAAAAATACAAAAAGAGGAAAAATATTTGTATTGGTGGCTCAAGAGTCAAGAGACAATTTCTTGGATCAAACCAGACAAGATAAGTTTCTCTAAGTCAACTACAGCTTGATAAGTTTCATCAATCTGAAACTCACTTCTCCAACCCAAATCCCAAACTCCACTTGTCATCTCTGTCTTCTTACTCTTTAAATCCTTCTCCAACACCATGTGAATGCCCTCTTTAACAAAGCTGCTCTGTTCTAAAAACGTGTCTCTATAACTACTCAGGGACTCAAGCCCATCACATACTTCCGTTAACAAATCATCAACGTGCACAGAGCTTCTTAGGGGACAAGTTGGTTCCGTAATGAGAAGAAGGCTTCTGCGTCTGGCTACTTCTTTGGCAAAGTCTAGTGCATGTCTTTGGTCTGAGATTACAATGCTGTCACTATTTCGAAAGGTTGATTCTTGGCTTCTTTTGCTATTACTGTCCAAATTGAATAGATTCTCTGCGTAGCTGATGAAATCTTGGGAGCTAGATAGGAAAGCTTTAAGAGGGATTTGGCAGGTTTCTTGCTGAACTGTGGCAGCACAAGAAGTAACTTCTCCGTTGTCGCAATGGGCTTTACAAGAACAAAAGTAACAGGAGATGCTTTAAAGAAACAAACTTTGAAAACATCCTGAAAGGTTAATAACTTTGTGTTACTAACCTTGAATGTTAAGATCTGAAGAAGTGGTTTCCTCTGCAGAAAGTTGGTTTATTGATCGATTGGATAATCGAGCATGCCGTGCGTATCTCTGAAGCGAGTCATGTCTCGTGATGCAGTTTCTTCTTGGCCTATATGAGAAACAGAGTTACTGAAAGTTCTACAATTTATAAAACTATGCATTGAGGCAGTGAGAAAGATTTGCTCACATTTGTTCTATTAGCCTCACTAGACTTCTTTTCCCGACCACTACTACTAGAGCTGGAGCTCAACCTGGAACGTCGAGTTTTGTTTCTTGACATGTCTGAAGGACTGTTCGGTTTCTTGTGCGTTGCAGGATTATTCGGTGGCTTAAGAGCTCGGTCATGAGGTCTATATCTATCTTTACCTTCACCAGTATCCTCCTTCTTGACAAGAACCTTTTTATTAGTTTCAACTGGTTTTCGATCTCTTGTTACAGCTTTGGCATTGGTAGGAGACATAAGCTTGATCACCTTAGCTTCATTCTCTTCTACTTTGCGCAACATTTCTTTCGGTTCTCTGTCTTTCTTAGTCAGACTTGACGGTAATTTCATTTTGTTGCTGCTCTTGGCTTGATGATCTTTCCTCTGGTTAATCATTCTTGGATGAACCTCACCTTGCATTCTCGGTTTCTTGGGTAAAACCGGCCTTTTGTTACCCGGTTTTTCTTCCATTTCCGGTTGTACAACACGCATAGGTCTAATGAGTACTATAGTTGAAGGATTCTCACTCGGAATCTCTTGTAAAACAGCTTCTCTTGTAGAGTTGCATCTCACAGTTTCAGGACTCTCTTTGATCTTCTTCTTCAGCTGCTCTTGTCTTGGCTTATCAATATGATTCACGACACATTTGCTCGGTTCTTGAGTAGATACATCCAAACCCATAAGCCTAGCAATCAAACTTGGAGCTCTCCTTGTAACATCAGACGACGCAGATGACTTTGTAGAGCCAGAAACCATAGAAGATTGGCTCGAGCTCGTTGATGAAGACGCAGCTCCAGAAGAGGAAGCAAAATCACTTCTAGAAACCCGAGTTTTAGTCCCTGTAGTTGTTGTTTGTGGAAGAAGATTCTGTCTAAGAAAGCTCTCTTTAATAACTTTCTTAGCTCTTCATAACAATCTCTTGATGCTACATTCTCTTGACTCATCATACGTTTCTCAATCCTCTCTCCAAATCTATCAGACATCGATCTCTGAAACCGTAAATCTTTACTAATCCTCGGTTTCTGCTTAATATCACCATCTTCTTGTATACTAGTAAGCATAGCTAAAGACTCTTCCAAGTCAAGTGCTCCTCGTAACAAACCTTTAGCTATATCCTCAGGCCTCATAGTCTCATAACTCAAACCTTTAGACCATGACTCAATTGCAACGTTAAGTTTCTGAATTCCTTTAGATACTCTCAAGAGCTGCAATGAAGAAGGAGGAGGAGGAGCTTCCTCTGTGCTCTTCCTTGGCGCAATTTCGGATTTATCTTTTGATTTTGAAGGATTGTCAAATCTTTGGTTACTACTACAAATGCTGCTACTACGGATCTTACTTTGTTTCTTGATTGCTCCACATTCCACAACTCCTCTTGGATCATCACACATTATGAATGATCTGTAAACTCCTGATCTCAGTTTCCCTTCAGGCATTGTTTTTTTTTTTTTTTTCTGAAACAAAAATTTACAAGAATTGAGTCAAAACTCTAATGACCCATTTTAGATCTCAGACATTGATTCATAAACATTGCAAGATCTTCAAGAAAGATTAAACCCTAGTGTCTGAATTTTTCGATCTGGTTTCAAGATTGAAGCAGAGAGGGGTTTGAAGAAAAAAACATGCTTTCTTGTTTTAATACAAAGATAGAAAAAAAGCAATTTTTAAAAATTCTCATAGCATAGCATTACAGACACAAAAATGCCATGTAAAAATCTGGAAACACTTACCAAAATTGAAGCTTTGTGCCCAATTTCTCTTCCTCTGAACCAAAATTTGACAACTTTTATCAAGAATTCCCAAGAAAAGTCTGTAAAATTACTTGGGGGGAAATGTAAAACTCAAATGAAGAGAGATTCAGATCAAACACAAGGAATAGTCTTTATCTTGCACCGCCTGCAAGTGACAAGAAGAGAGAGAGAGAGAGAGAGAGAGAGAGAGAGAGCGAGAGAGAGAGAGAGAGAGAGAGAGAGAGAGAGAGAGCGAGAGAGAGAGAGAGAGAGAGAGAGAGAGAGAGAGAGTTAAGCAAGCGAGTCAAACTCAAGATCCAGTTTTTGACTTCGTCGAGGTTTCGTGAGCTTACACGATAGGATCCTCTGGGGACAAGCGGATTCAATGTTTCTGCAGAGAAATTGTCTTAATGAATTGAAATCTAAAGAACATTGAATTATCTTCTTTCTTATTTTTTTTTTCTTTTCTCTTTTTTTTTCACTACATTAAGAGATAGGAAGATGAAGCGAAGGTCCACGTCATTAGAAGTTTGATGTTATGGTTTCAAAAAGAGACAAAACTACCTTCCGTTATTCTATAACTAATCTAGCTTTTCTCATTATTCGTTTGTTTATTTATTTAATCATGAGTTTTTTTTTTGTCGGCAAAATTTAATCATGACTACTTAATCTCTTATTTTCGTACCAAATTCGGATTGTTTATTTAGTTTTATAAAATTACAGTGTTATTTAATTGCTGGCAAGAGAATCAAATGTGAGTTGAAAAAATCATTAGATGAAGAGAATATTCTCTCTAAAAAATGAACTAGTTATATATTTATGTGAATAACTCGTGTTGGTTTTTATTTATTTAACAGCTGCAAACGGACATATATAGAGTAACAATTAACGAATAAATATTATCAGACTATTTACATATATTCGCAGTTTGATTTTCAATCGGTGATCCGTGGAACGTTAATGGAATTAAACGGCTAGCTGAGCTAAATTTATTTTACAGAATAAATAGTTAAAAAAAAGTTGGAGGATAAATACAAGAAATGCAAACAAGTAAACAACAAAAGACATTGGATCTCTTTAGTAAATAATTGGGTGTGTAATCAAATATTCCCCATTTTGGAGAATCCCATTTCAATGACACTTTTTGTCTAGTTTCTCTAAAATTGTGCACATGATTAGGTTTAACATTTATTGAAGAATATCACCATTCTTTATCATTTATGATGCAACGACTTCTCAATATATATAGTTAATTCGATTGGTTTTGACTAGCGGTAGGATGCAACGTAAGTCTACCCCCAGAAGTAACGATTTCACTCATGAACATGAGTTTATAATTAACTACGGAGTTAAATTTACTTAAAAATCCACTCAGTTATTCTTTTTACTTTTTTTTTTTTTTGAATATCGGTTTCTATTCATTTAGCCGGTTTACAGTGGGATAATAAGCAAGAGTCCCTGAGTGACTGTTTTGCGATTGCATCTGTAAACAAATTGGCTGAGCATGGGATGTAATTGAAAAAAAAAAAAATAGGAAACAATTTGATAGAGCTTTGATTTCGTCGACGATTCCAATTTCCAAGTTTCTTTGATTTCATTATCCCGAGTGAGTGATGGAGCGGATAAGTTTTTTAGAATCGGAATTCACCTGCAGCTTTCGAAAATCCATCTCCAGATCATGTTTCAGAGCAGCTCGGCTATTTTACTATAAGCTGCATTTGCTTAACCACAATAAACTTTTAGTGGTCGATATTTGACGTTGATAAATCGATAGCATTAAATAAAGGGGAAACTTTCTAAATTCAAAAGTAAGGCAATGGAATGTAGTTTTTGAATTGTACACATTTATTATAGGGTTTACAAAAGTTGGAAACATTTTCAGAACTTGCACTGAGTATGAACCGTGACAAGAAATGGCAAACATTTCAATTTTGAATATTAATATTACCACAAGACTGTTATATTTTGCTTCCTCTTTTAGCTCTAATTGTTACCAGGAAGATGTGTAAGAAGAGCAAAAATCTTGAGAAATGTGTTAGAATCTCACATCAGAAGTTTAAAGGGATAATTTGGACCTCTCCACTTATCATCAATTGGTTTTAAATTGAAAGTCCTAAAAACTTAATATGGTATTAGAACCTCATTTGTTGACCCAATAAAGGTGGTCCAAAAAATGTTTATTATCAGTCTTAAAGTGAGATTCGGTTCGAAATAAACTAATAAAAGTCATCATCTCGAAAGGGCATGTTAGAATCTCACATCGCAAATTTAAAGGGACTAATACTAATATATATGGAATTTGGGCATCTCCACTTATCGCCAATTGGTTTTTAATTGGAAACCCAAAAAACTTAACAAAATGCTTAGAAAATGTTATGTACTCCTATTCCTAATTAAAAAAGTTATCAGTAGTCATAATTTATAAATTTCAAAAGGATTGATTTAAAATTTGAAATAAGGTTAAGTGATCATGTATTTGATACAGTCACATGGTTCTTGCAATAATGACCGCTTTTGTGGCGGCAATAAATGCCTAAACCCCTCTTTGGTTACTTTGGGTGCAAGCGTGAAATTATTGAAAGATTTTATTTTATTTTCTTATATAGTAAAGTTGAATAAAGACCATTCATGTGCAGTGTTAGCTTAGATTCACATTGCCTATTGAAAAATCTTATGGTACAAAATCGTAACATATTCTCAGCTGCATTTAATCAATATGATGCATCATGATTTTTTACCTTATGGAGTACAAGAAGTTCTCGACAAAGAAAAAAAAAAGTACGAAAAAATTTGACATGCACAAGTAAAAAAGTAAAAAAGCGTATCTATCATCTAAAAACATGGACATTAGTGAATCCTTAAAAGAGGTTCATAGCATTTAAATATTGTTAATTTGTGGATATATGAACAGTGAAGAAATTGAGCTTGTTTTGGTTTTCATTAGTGAACCTCAATTATAAGTTTTTAGGAATAAAATAATAATTTTAAAAAAAATTTCATTTTTTTTTGTCTTAAATTTGAACTTCTATTTCTTATAAATTTTTTTTTTTTAATTCATTACAGGAAATTAAAATATAGATAAAAATACTGCTGTTTACTATAAATTTTTTTTTTAGAGAGAATCTATTATGGTGTTGATTGGTTCACCCGCTATCACCCGCAAACGTAGCGTTTGCGGTTGGTAACGGTTAGTGGCGTTTTATCACAATCATAAAAATCACTGCAAACCGCTCTGTATCGTTTTATACCGTTGAAATCTAAAAGTTGCTTCTCGCTAGCGTTTGTGGTTGCGGACGATAGTAATTGGATAAAAAATAAAAAATAAATAAAATCACGCTAGAAAAAAAATAAAAGATCACATTAAAACAATTATAAAACCCTAACCCTACTAATCTTCTCCTATATATAAACTCTAACCTCTCACTTTTTCTATCAAGTTATAGTTTCTAATCATGGCTTTTATATCAGTTGAAGAAAATTAAGATACAAGCATAAGTGCCATAATACTTTGGTTTAATTCATTTATATTAATTGTTCTGTTTCCACTTTTAAAGTAAGAAATTATAAATATGTATCTTATTAATGACAAAATTAGTTTATTATAATTTTTTTTTTTGTTTTCCAGAAAATTACATGATCAAACGAGATGACATGTGCGTTATTTCAACGGATAATTGTGAAAAAACAAACTCAAAACAAATATCCTAGATTTTTAAGTGCACTCCAGGAAGAACGTATTTTGAAAAATACTAATGGGCAATTTGGAGTTGGGATCGTGCAAAAATCAATTAGATCAATTGAAGAAATTTTACATCATGCATAAGAAAGATCCAGAAGATCTATGTATTGGAGCAAATTTTCCAGTCTATTATATTACTAGACATAATTTTGGGTGATGTTCCCAATAATTGAAATAAAAAATATTATTATAAAATTTAATAGTTTTTAAAATAATTATTTAGTATTTATTTATAATTTTTATTAATTATTTTGAACTAGTGATTTTGATTTTAATAATAATAATATAGTTTTCTGTTTTTTGTTTTTATAATATATGATGTTTATTTTGGTAATTTTCAGTTTAACCACTAAAACAACCGTTGGTTTGCCAGTCAAAAATTTCCCGCAAACGGATCCACTTTAAAAAATTGAACCAATCGTGCAAACCACTGAATAACGCTAAAAATCGCAATTGTCCGCTTCCACAAACTTCCGCACTCGCAACCGCAACCGCTGCGTTTAAACCAGTCAAGCCCTATGGGTCTGCGTAGAAATGCAGAATATATACCATCACCATATGATATTTGATTTTTTCCACAAAGCAGAGTTACAATATGCGAGAAAGATTTATAAGACGTAGAGCAACCAAATAAAAAAATCAAGACGTTACAGAAAATTAAATATCATGATATAGTTATTTGTATGATATGATTTAAGGCGGTGGCTATTTCTGATTAGATGTGAGCGTGCTTCTCTTGGTGGAAGCTGGTAAGACTCTCTGTGTCGTTCCTTTGTTCAGAGTTCTGTTTGGCGCGGTGTTGGCTCGGTTTTCTCTTGGTTAGATCCCGTCGGTGGTGTTTTGCTCAAGGTGGTGGCTATTTCTGGTTAATCTGAGTGTGCTTCTCTTGGTGGAAGCTGGTAAGACCCTCTGTGTCGTTCCTTTGTTCAGAGCTCTGTTCGGCGCGTATCTGGCTTGGTTTTCTTCAAGTCTTTGCCTC